ATGAACACAAAATCCTACATCTTCTACAGAATATTCTTATCCTTACAATGTCCGACTTCAATAGTCCTCTGCCATTGGCAGATGTATATGAACCCCACTGGCAAGCCACTAGAGTTGGGCCAAATTCAGAGTAAGGAACGAGTGCTGTTAAGAATAATTCTGTTCTTGGTGAGGACCTATGCAGTATCCTTAGCAAGGCTAATCTCAATTATTACTTCTGAGGATGTCAGTAACTACTGTTTCCACTTTGCAGGAGGCTGAAGAAAGGGGGTTCAGTTTACTTTACAAAAAAGTTAAAAAGAAAATTGCATTTAACATAGGCCAAAGCAAAACATGTTGAAGGGGTGTTACTACAGTCACAGAGACAAGTGGTCAACAGGTATAAAATACCAGAAATTGAGTATGTGAATACAGTCATAGTCTGTTAGGCATGTGTTACAGGGTGTAACAGGGTCATGGCTTTTTGTCAGACCTCAAAACTGGCCAATTCATTTGTCTAAATATAAAAAAAAAAAAAAATAATGCCAAGATGGCTTGATTTCCAAAAAGCTCTGATGGGACTCAGGCATGGTTCCAATAGACCTACATCTGCCAAGCAGAAACCTGTGCCTTCTCCTGACAGGTTATCCATTCAGCTCCCAGCAGACAGCTTATGGGACCGCTAGCTTCCAAGATCCTGATTTTGGGACATAGACAAGTTACAGGCAAGGGATAGTGGGGCATGGCATGCCACATCTCCGTGGGACAGAATTACTGGGAGTCTGCAGGCCTCTGTGGTAGGTGGCTATGAGACAAGGGCATCAGTCATTCCTAAGAATGGGACAACTGATTTCATGTGGTGTCTAACTGATTCTTCTGATCAGAAAACCAAAGAAGTAGCTGGCCTAAGGTCAAATAGCACATAAGTGCCCAGCTCTCAAGCTTTTGGCTTCCTGACAGTCTTCCAGGTGGGAAGCTGAACAGAAAGGCTCTATAAAAGCCTTGTTTCCTTTTTAAAAGGGGAAAAAAGGAAGACCCAGGGAATTAAGGCTGGTCAGTCTCACCTTTGTGCCCAGCAAGATCATGGAGCACATCCTCCTTGGCGCTATGCTAAGGTACATGTAAAATAAGGAGGTGATTGGTGACAGCTAACATGGCTTCACTAAGGGCAAATTGTGCCTGACAGATTTGGTGGCCTTCTGCGACAGGGTTACAGCACTGGTGGATAAGGGAAGAGCAACTGATATCATCTACATCATCATCCAGCTCTGGAGTCTCCAACATAAGAGCAGGACCTGTTGGAGCGGGTCCAGAGGCAGGCCATGAAGACGATCAGAGGACTGGAACACCTTCCATATGAGGACAGACTGAGAGAGTTGAGGTTGTTCATCCTGGAGCAGAGAGGGCTTCAGGGAGACCTTACAGCAGCCTTCCAGTGTTTGAAGGGGGCCTATCACTATCATGTAGTGATAGGACAAGGGATAATGGCTTTAAATGGAAAGAGACTTTAGACTCTTGGACAATTTAGACTAGGTATTAGGAAGAAATTTTTTCTGTGAGGGTGGTGAGAAAGTGGAACAGGTTGCCCAGAGAAGTTGTGGATGCCCCATCCCTGGAGGTGTTCAAGGCCAGGTTGGATGAGGCTTTGAGCAACCTGATCTAGTGGAAAGTATCCCTGCCCATGGCAAGCGGCGTTGGAACTAGATGATCTTTAAGGTCCCTTCCAGCCCAAACCATTTTATGATTCTGTGATTCTATGATAAACCCCACTCTTGGATTCTCTGGCAGCCAGGATCTCATTTTGAAGTCATTGTGAAGAAACTTTCTGTTCTCCTGTTTGAGATCTTACAGTGATTTCTGAAGAATATTCTCAAGATTTTGCTTTCATTTGGATGCTTGTAAATCTCAAAATACTCTACAGAATGGGCAGCCCTCCTGTATTTGATTACATGCTCATGTTGTTGCTTACCTTTCCGTGGATGCTGCTTTTAACAAGTTGTCAATGAAGACAAAACAAGGATGCTCCAAGTACTGGAGAGTTTGGAAAGTGGTCAGTAAATGTGACAGAGGACTGCAGACAAGAAAGGCCGGTTGTATGCATAATGCAGATAAACGCTGCCCTGTAGAGCCAAATTCTGTATTCTCCTTTGCCACAGATGTCTCAGATAATGCTAATGAAATTAAGTAAATCTGTCTTTCCCAGGGCGTTGCTAAGCTGGGTGAAGTGACTGATCTGAAGAAGGAAAAAGAACTCTCAGAAGCAACTTCATTTCAATGGGAGCAGAGCTTTGAACATATAAACACTACCTAGCAGCAGGTGAGCTGGAAAAAATCAAGCTGTAGGCTTCTGAAATTGAACATACAAAAATTCGTCGATACTTTTAAGTTCAGTCTGTGCCTCAGTTGCCATTTGCCAAAGCACTCCTGATCAACCAGGTGGATTTTGAAAATGAATGCATTGTTTCTGAAACACTTTGATACCACAGAGATTATCATCTCAGAAAAGCTCATGAGGAGATTGATAATTATGTCTTCAGAACAGAACATGGAAGAAACAAAACACCATGTAGCAGCTCATTAAACATCATCTCTTCTGAATCACCCTTTGGATGACTGGTTTGAGGTCACCCAGGAAACTTGTAGCAAATTAAAAGAAACCGAAGGACTTATGATGTTGAAGATGTACAATAATTCTCTCTCTTTCTCTGGAGAAGAAATAGGTATACTGATGGTATGAGACACTGAACTATAAATAAGGATATTTGGGCACAGATATTAACTCTCCTTACAATGTCATATTCCAGAGCACTTTTAACCTCTAGTATGCAAGCTGGGACATATTTTGTATTTCGTGGAATCAAATATAAGCTCCTGAAAACTCATCACATTAACTTTGGGACACATAAAACAAAAAGGCAGCACAGACATTAATAATATTTTAAAGCAACGGGCCACTTTTGACTCTCCACTAATATATTACATGAAATCACGATGTATTTATGGAAGAAAACAATACATAGCCATCTAAAAAAACACTGTGGCAATGCTGACCTTGAGCTACAATAGCAGAACCTTGAGAATTGTTCAAGTCTGACATACAAAGCTCACCTTTGACAGGCTATGAACTTTTTTCTAAACAACAGTGTCTTGTGAGGGCCAGGGAATGAAGAAACAGCTAGGGCACTTTGCAGCCAACTTTGGCAGCCCCAGATCAGTAGATATGAGCCACGCTGACGTGTTTGCATGTGCCATGGATCGCTTTTCACGCTGCAACTTGCACTGCTCCAATACATCTGCCTTACGGAGCATATGTGGGATGAGGCTGCAACAGCAGCTCAGCCCACTGGCACTCTTCAAATGTGCCACATGTTTATGCAAGCTATTCAGAGTAGATTCAGTCACTGTTTGAGATTTCTGGCCAGCCAATGGCCCTGGCAGATGAATATCCAGAAACAGAATAGAATATCTTCAAGGAAGTAAAATCATTGACAAAAGCTACAGTTCAATTAAAATTGACAGAGGCTAGCAATCTGCTTTCTGGGGAAGGAATTGTCGAGTTTGAAATTGTAACCTAATGGAATCAAAACTAGTATTGCACCTGAGGCACCAGCTAGCATTCTCAGTCACTAGTAATGCTTTGATCTAAATGCCCGAGTTGTAAGGATAGACTGCTGGACTTTTTTTTTTTTTTTTTGTCTGTGTACATTCATTTTGATAGTCATTTGAAGAATGGTATCATTTAAGAGGCAGCATTCCCCACCAGATTTACCCTGGTGAACTGTTAGTGAAGCAGAAACACAATTACTAATTTGGGATTCAGCTCCTAAATTGCATCAACAGATCTGTGATATTGTTGTAATGTAGGTAAGGTACCACACACATTAAAAGAAATGGTGACACTAGCGTTTTTTGCCACAGTGTGTGACCAGTGGCCCTGATTGTCTCAGGTGTGTGAGATGTCATGTCTTTCTAAGTCCAAATTGCTGGTGGTTTAAAGCTAATCTCCTAACCTCTTGAAATAATTAGCAATTACATCACTCCAGACTGAAAACAAGAAAGTGCTAAATAAATAGAAAAAAAAGACGTTAAAGATTAGATGTCTGTAACAGTCACTTTACCGTACTGTTCTCTGTATTTTATCTGAGAATGGATACAGGAATCAACCTTTATTCCTTCCTCTCCTCTTCTCCCCAAAGAAGCTCAGGAAAAATTTTGAAGAACTTCAGGAACAGTGAAATTATACCTCATTTCTTCCCACAGGTTCACATGAATTGCACTATTTAGTGGCCCCATTGCTCAACACTAGGTGCTACTGCAATCAAGTTTTCTGTCTTTTGTGTCCTTGTGAATAGGTCTGAACATTGCCAATATCAAAACAGTCAGAGCACAATGCTAAAAAATTGCTATTCTCATCTATCACAGAGGTCTTTCAGGGCCATCTGAACATCCTTGCCTGGGACTATTTGAATAGATTTTAAGTATCCTATTACAATTTAAAGTCACATTTCTTTACAGTGCTACCTTTCTAAGCATCAAGAACATTCAGAAAAGCACACTTAATGAAAGGAAATCAAGCTTTTAGTTCCTCTCTCTGCTTACTGACAGAAACACACATATTACAATTCTCATCTCATTTTTTAAAAGCTGGAAAGTCACTGGCTAATGAAAATGTGAACTTTCTCATCGAGCAGAGACAGTCACCAGTGAAACTTTGGTGACAAACCGTTAATTGACTGACTTAGTTGTTGTAGTGAAAACTGGTCATGGATAGCTTGCTCCTGCAAGGCTTCCACTTAGAAAGCAATATGTTACCAGTTGAACGAAGGAGGGTAAAAGTCAAGAGAGAACAAGACACAGTGACTGATTAACATCTATGTCATCATTAAAAATAAACACAAATCTGGATTAACCTTCTTAAGTGCCCATTATGTAACTGCCAGGACAATCCTGCGTGTGCAGTTCTGCGTTTCTATAAACAACACGGCTATTAGCTTGGCTCTAGTTTTCCGAGTTAAGCTCACCTTTTACTGTCACATGCACACTCTGGCTGGTGGACAGCTGAGGTTGAACGAGAACATTGCATGTGTATTCACCCTCATCTACTTCCTTCTGCACATCTGAAAGCTTCAGTGTCCCGTTGTTCTCAAAAGCTACTTGGCGATGGTTAAATGGTAGCAGGTTAGAGTTCTTGTACCACTTGATGGAGTAATATGGGTAGCCAATCACACGGCAGTGGATGTAGGTGTCCCGACCAGCTATTGCTGTGATGTTTTTCATTGGGCGAATGCTTGCTGGCCCTAGAAAGGTAAAAAGAAACTCTTGAAAACAATTTAAAGGCACATTTGCTTGAGGAAACATGCATACAATTTTTCTGAATATACAAATATTAACAACATTTACAGATGCAGCTTGCACAACACTTCTTAGCATTTGACAGTTTTTCCTTTTAAGAGCTACTTAAGCAGTCTCCCTAATCTTTATATGCTCTAGTTTTTCCTCACCCTGCAGCATACATACTAATTATGTGGGGGTATATGCATTATCCAACACTTGCCTGATAAAATCTTTGCTGCATTACAAATTAAAAGGCTGAGGATGCTTTGATTAATGTGAAATACTAAAACCAATACAAAGCTAGAATCCTGTTACACATGAGAACACCGAAAAAGTTAGCTTTTTTTTTTGACATGTGTAAAGTATAATACCATGAGGATGGGTATTATGCCATGTAGAGCTAGAAATGCAAGCTAAAGTAGTGTATACATAAATAATTACAATGAACATTGAAAAAATGAAGGAAGAAAGGATAAGAAAAAAAACCATGCACAGCAGGACTACAGTAAAGAAACTGTGAACTAATAGAGATGAGTAAAGGAAAAAATAGACTATAGAACACAAGCCAAAGGGTTTTTCCAACATTTAACCATACCATACATTTTCTAGATGGGGCTTGAGAGGCAGGGTGGGAAAAGAGAGCGGGGAAGAAAAGGAGAGGAAAAACGGTAAGTTGGTTTTAGCATTCCAAGACTCATTTCATCACATGCAACAATATCCTTCTCCACTACAATGAGTTATGTGTGTTTTTTGAGGAGCTGATTTGACAAGCACCTCTTACGTTTATTCGAGCCTGGTACGGGACGACTCCAGCAGAGTTGTTGGCAGTACAGCGATAAACTCCACCATCTCGGACCTGAGTGTTAGAGATATTCAGGTAACTGACCACGTTGCCTTCGGAGGTGATAATCTGGCTGATACGATGACTGCCATCCTTCATGATGGGATCTTCGTCCAGTGTCCAAGTGATTGTAGGCAGAGGAGTCCCCTTCACGTTGCACATAAGGGAGACTGGCTCTCCTGGACTCACCACTTTCTCACTGAAGGCAGAAATTATTTTGGGAGTTCCATCTGCCAATGGAAAGAAAAGCAGGAGAATAGTACTTGCATGCTCTAAAGCTGTTCCCTCTATCCTGAAGCCTATCATGTGAGCCAAGATCTCTTTCAGAAGAGATGCAAATAATTGTGTTCCAGGATGTAACTCTAAATATTAAGAGAGGGAAACAAATTTTGGTGTTAGTAAAGTACTTAACTGATGCTTTGCTTACTGCAGGTCTATTTTTTCATCTTCTAAGAAACCTGGTGAAGGAAAACACTTGAATAGATGGATCAGGCTCTGCACAACTATATGAATTGCCAGGTTCTTGCAGAAAACATGTTAAAACCATACACACTTCATTGCAAAAGACATACAGCAAAACCTCAACACATTTGGAAGTTTTTTTCTCCTGGTAGATTTCAGCTCCTGGGAAAGCTACGGATGAATCCTGTTGGCAAGAGCCAGGCATAACTTGCATAAGCTGTGCCAATGCAGTTTAGTCCTGACCCACAATACCAATTCAGAAAAACATTAAATTAAGCTTTTCTGAATATCCATTGCCAGTAATAGCAGTGATGCCAATTTCTTTTTGTGGTCATTTTGTGCTACAGATAAATATTCCTCTGAAATGAGAGCAATCAAAATGCTTTCTCTTGTCATCTGTGTCACAATTTAGCCAACCTCTACCAGGCAACTCACTAAAGAGAATGGATGGAGACACAAAGTTTGAGATTGTAAGTAGGGAACAGGATTAAAAAGCCACCTATTCAGTGAGTTCAGAGGGATAACATTTAGGAGTGCAACACTCTGCTGTTAGGGAAGTTCTTTCTGACATTGTGCGATGCATGTTCTCCTTTGAAAATCTTAGTTTCAAAGCTGTATCTAGAAGGAATTTCAATGTAATTGGGAGCAAAAGGCCACATACCAAGAGCAGTATGCAGAACACAGGAAGAAATCCAGTCCAAAGTTTGGACAACAGTGATGTAAGTTTACCATCTGGTTTTAAAGAGCCAAGTGGTAAGTAAGCTAACTCTAGTGTTCCTGTAGTATTAGTGCCTGAAAGAAACAGAAGGAAAAGATGTCCCATTGCCTAGAGAGGGGCCAAAGACACTCAAAAACTCACCTTGTACACAAAGCCCTTTAAGGGCAAATCCCTTCAGTGTGGCACAAGGCAGAGAGCATCAGGACAGGACTCATGGTCAAGTCTCATGATCTGTGTGACTCACTACTTTGTGCACACTATATACTGTCTCTTCATGTACACTCTGCTATGTGTTACCCATATGTTTGGGAGGCTTGAACTATGATGGCTCCCCTGGAAATCCCAATTCTTCCATTGGAATTTCAGTGCAACCTCACCTAGGAAACAGAGAACTGGCACCCATGAAAAATGCTGAGTCACAGCAGAATTAAAAACAGGGCTGAAAAATTCCCTTGCTTGCCCCCTAGTCAAAAACATAAGGTACTGCCACTCTCAGGCTGCTGAAAGACATCAGCATCCCTGGAGGTGCATTTAATTTGATTTGATTTCATAATTTTCTCCTCTTCCTCCTCTCTCCCTTTAATTTCTGTCCTATTGGTTGTGTGACAGGGTTCTAATTTGTTTATCTTCATCTCTATCTCTCTTCCTTTACTTTGCTGTGTATTAGATACTGTCATTCCTCAGAAAGCAAAACAGCAGCAATAAAAAAAAAAAGCTTTTCTTATCCTGAAAGAAAGTTGACACAAGACCAATAAATCTGTGAATGTGTACAGTATGTACCTCTGCCACCCCTCCTCTTCTTTTTTTTTTTTTTTTTAATTCAAGTGACAGCCTTTTTTTGGAGATGAAAGCAGACATTATTTTCCCAGTGAGACCTGAGTGTCTTTGAAATCTTTCCTGCTGTTGCTCTCTGATAACCTGCACTCTCTCGACATCATGATAGATTATCAATATGCTATTTAGACTTTCTTAGTCATGGGAGATGGTTGCCAAGGTAACTTGGTCCAGGCAGGTAATCTCTGCTGTTTCTATAAAGACTCTAAAAATAGTGTCCATGCCATGACTGCACTACAGCCTCATTAGTGAACTGGCTCTGTACAAATTGATTACTTTCCTCACTTGGTTATCATGTGGAATATTGTGTCATCTAGTTAAGATGATGTCCAGGTCTTCAGCCAATACACCCAACCAGAAAAGCCATGCCCATAAAGAGATGTTTGGAGTTGAATAGAGACCTCTTCTCTCATGTCCTGCTGAGAGCTAATGTCAAAAATCAGCACTGCCACCACCACCTACTCCCACCAAAAAAACCCCAACAAAAAACAAAAGCAAAAACCAAAGAAGCCTGGAAGGACTGCTCAGGAGGGATTTTTGTTTTCAAATATTTTTTTTTTATTCTATTATTTTTTGTTCAGAGTGGGGCACAATAAACCACACTGATGGTTCCTGAGTACTCGCTTCTCCTCTTTAGGGTCCACTCTCCCTCACTTTACAATGACACCAAAGATTACATATGTATTATGGAGACCAGAATCGCTGAACAAGTAGTTACTGACCTTCTAGTACCACCTGAACATAATCTTGAGCAGACATCTTGTCCTTGCGCACAAAGCACTGGTAAGCTCCACCATCACTCTTGGCCATGCCATCCATAATAAGGTTCTCCCGGTTGACACCAGTGATCCGGACATTGTTACCAGGGTTGATAATTTCACCGTTACGATACCAGGACAACTCCTGGTCCTCAGTTCCCGTCACACTGCAGGACAAGGACACTTGACTACCAACACTGCTTTTTACTTTCCGTGGGCTAATCGTGGCTTTTAGTGGTTCTGCAGATTTAAACAAAAATAAGAGAGAGGGAAAGGGAAATAAAGAACATTAAGTATATACATGCATTTATGTGCAAGTAACAAATTAATTCTCGGTTAAGGAGAACAAGAAAAATCACAGCCATACCTTTCTGAAAAACAAACAAAAAACCCCAAACCCAGAACACAAAGGAAAAACAGATTACTGTGTTTGCTCTAAACAAGTATTTTGGCCACAAACATCCATGACACAAAACATAGATCTATAGGGATAACCTACTTAACATGTGATGTAATACTCTAGACCATGCCTAAATGAACAGTAGGAGCAGATCTACTGAGTAACACCATTGGTGCTAAGAGCCTAGCATGTTTTGGGCACTACACATCTTTTGGGAGGATAGGACATGACTTCAGGTTAGTTCAGTGTGGACGTTTGAACTGATGAATTAGGTGCATTCCTGGAGCTCATCTTCTGGTTTAATTTCCTGAAAAAGGGAACCCAGTTCACATATTTCAAAGCCACTCCCTGATCTGAACAAGTGCAGTAAATGTCAATAACCAGGAGAACAGCTTTTAAGAGTGGAAGACCCACACTAAAATGTTAATATAGGTGCACCCACAGACACCTGTAGGATCTGTCCACATAAAACTGTTTCTCTGTGTGGGCTCACTAAATTTTCTGTTTCAACATGGAAGACTACAGTATTTTCAAATCAGCCTTAAAAAAAATAGGACATACGCAATGCAAGTTTTATATTGTAAAAAAAAAAAAAAAAAAAAAAGATGAACAGTGGTGAAAAAAAGACATAAATGTAAATGCAAGGATAAGAATCTTTATCCTGCCCCTTAACAGTTACCAGCATTACTGAATACAGATTTCATCTCATGCTTTGCATATTTTGATTTGACTTCTGAGTAAAGATAAGGGACTGCTAACAACAATACCATCTCTGATAATAAATACACATAAATCTGTTTATTTTTCACCCACTTGCATACATCATACACACAAATATGTACACATGCTTATTCATAAAAATTTCCTCAGCTAACTCATTCTCTTTACAGAAAATTTTATAACACACAAGATGGAACACCTGATCCAGAAGATACTTATTGGCTGTTTGACCACTGAGACCATAAAGAAAACGTATCACCGGGCACTGAGGATACTTCTGGTATCACTAGCAATACCATTATATCATGACTCCGGAAGTTGTGACTTTGTATCATACAACACAGATTGAATTCAAGTAATATTCATGAATACATTTAGAAGCAAAGCTCCTGTGTTAAAATTCATGAATTACTGATCTTTGACCTCTGTTTTATTGTACCCAAATACATTGTGTGTGATTATTTGTGAAGACATTTCTATGGCCTGAACCGTTCACAAACTTCCCCCTTTTAGGTTTGCTACTCATGCTGTATAGGTAGAAACATCAGTTCACAAAGCATTGTTTCTATTCCAGGAAACATTTTTATTTTTTTTTTAACATTAGAAGAATAATAGTTTTCCAGTGCAGTACTTCTGAGTAATAATTGTCTTTGTAGAATTTATGAAACATTCGGAATATTCACACATGAATACTCAACTGAGGGGAGGTATGATTATTCAATATTACCGAACAGCATGAGTCATGGCAATGAAAGTTTGGCAGCTTTATTCATGAGAACATTTGCAATTCCTTTTAAGCATCCAATTCAAGCTTCTAAATTATATATCCTCCATGTGATAAATTGTACAGCTACATTATAAATTGCATCCATGTGCACTTCTGCTTGCTCAATTGTCCAAGGAACTCATCTCCACAGAGCCTACTTACTGTTGTTCCACAACTTGGAGAAGTTTAAGCAAATCTAAGGAAAAGTAACAAAACAGAAGATACAGCAAGATATGTCAACATCTCCCCTCATGCACACACCCAGGCAAGAAGTGACCCGAGAGCTTAACTCAGTCCAGGACTTACGTTTCACATACAGTCGCCCCATCATCTCAGCAGTCCCATAGTTGTTCCACACCTCGCAGACATAGTTGCCTGAGTCCGACGGGCGCGTGTTCTCGATCAGCAGACCTGTAACTGTCTGCCGAAACCTGCTGTCGGGCTCCCAGGGAACGTTGTCCTTCAGCCAACGATACTTTGGTGCGGGGTGCCCTGATGCTTTGCAAGGCAGCTCCACTCGCTGTCCTGCCATGGCTTTACGGTGGTCAAACCCATCTAGGATAGATGGAGCTGAATTCGCTGGATCTGAAAGAGCAAACAGCAGTTTTCATAGGGAGCATTAAAATTGTTTCATTCACTAAGAAATATGTGAATATTTTTTCTCCTGCATGTTTTTACTTACTAGCCCAGTGTTTTATGTACTACAGTTTGCTACTGTGACCCAGCCATCAGTCTGTAATATCTCAGTAGTGGTGGCTGGGGTCCAGCAGCATGTACTACCAGAGCATCTCATGAATACTTGGAAATCCCCTCACTGGACTTTTTCCAGGTGGCAACCATTTCTCTGGTCATCCCCCATGTCCCCTATCAGAGGAATGGAGAGCCAGAAATGTGTTGCCTTAACAATTATTACTGTTAACCCTGCGCTACTCAACTAGAAAGAAGCCAGCACATTCTCCGTGCTACTCGGTGGTCTGAAGGTTTGAATTAAAGGAGCAATTTATTCCCTTGTCAGGAGAGAAATAGGCTAAGACACAGGAATTTCTATCTGCAGCCTAACTGACAGATGAACCTTTTCCTCTTCTCTGCAAAAAGAACTTAATGTGACAAGACCAACATATAACTTAATACTCCAACTTTCTGTGCTCAACTTAATGAGAAAAGCAGTGCTCAGACCAACACACTTGCATAGCACCTGGCATATATTTCTGTATCTCACAGAAGTCTGGCGGAGTGCCTTCACCAAAGGTGTGTGTACCCCGCCCGAAATAGTAGCCTGTGATTTCAGCTTTTTACATTAGAAAACTTTTGGAGGAAGAGGTTGATGTGATTTACAGTTTTATGCAGGATGATGGAAGCTCATCCTGGAGCTATTGCAACATAAATACTGAACGATAAATCAACAAATATTCATCTCAGTGTTTTCTCATCGCACCCACTTTGCTCAGACTTCTGTCTCACAAAAAAACTCCACATGCTGATCAATTCCTTTTACTCCTATCTGAAACACCAATTTATTTTTGGGTATATTGACATAGTTGCATGGGGATAGGTGTGATTGCAAGCATTTTGATGTTTTCAAGCAGTCTTTGACTTAGCTAGCTCAGGTACTGCTCACAGGGCAGCCGCAACAGGTTCCTGTTAGGAGCTGGAGAGATTAAAGGAGTTCAGGCTGAACTCATGCTATTCAAGCAATAGTGTAATCAGTATCTCAGCTAATTAGTTTTAAACTAGCTTAGATACATCTTCATGAACTCCAGCCTCACGTGGGAGGATACACTTGAGAGCAAACAGCTAGAGGCACTATGCAAATTATCTTATCAATCTAGAAACTAAAATTATGATGGCAAACAAACAGGCTAAGTAAATTTTATGTGAATATCTAAACAAAACCCTAAATGCCAAGTTCAGTGACAGATGACCACAGAGGTTTTTCTGCTCTCTAGATGCCAGCAAAAAGTTGAGCCACTGGAGGCAAAACCACATTCAGTTTACAGCAACCTACTGTCTGTCTCACTAGAAATGCGTCAGCCACTAGTTAAACAAATTATTTTGCATGCATCAGTAACCTCAAGGTCCATATTTGGCATCAAGACAGGTTATATTTTTGAGCTTGCCATCCTTTTTATATCTGGCTTAGTGAAAGCACAATCTGCCAAGATGCTACTGGGAAGACCAATGTCAATTTGACTGATTGATTAGCCAACTCCTTTCTTGCCTTTTGGGTTGTCAGGCATCTATGTTTTCAGTGCTTAAATTCTTTTGTGCAGCCCGACGAACTAACTCAGTAAAAATGCAAACATGCAAGGAATTACAGCTCTCGCTCTTAGGAAGGTTACACAAAATCAATTTCTTCAGTTGAAAGTAATAATTAGATAATAATAAAAAAGTAGAACTGATTTTTAAAGGTATTGTCTGTGCATTCCTACTCAAAACTCACAGGAGCTTTGTATCTTCTCCAAACACTTTTAACTTGAAAAGACTTTGTGAAGGATATACATGGTCCCATTTGCAATCCTTTAAGTACAAAAATACAAAGTGCTGTATGGACTTCAAAACAGGATGGGGGCCACCAGGGGAGGAATTAAAGTAATGGTAAGGAAAAGTTTTGGCTAGTAAATATTACACTTCAACAGCCTCCTCGTTTGCTGCAGAGAACCACATATGTGTCAATGTTGGGCCCAGGCAAAGTGCGAAACCACTTCAGACAGAGCAAGAAACTTTTAATGCTTTCAAAATCATAAGGATTTTTTGGAGGGTGGGGGTTAAAAAATGGGAAAGATTTTGGGAGCTGGGATTCATGGCTGGACAAAATTATTTTTGGAAAAGCACACTATAATGGGCACTAGAGGAATATTCTGTAGGTTGTTAATGGCCTCAGTTTTAATTTTGTTTTGAAAGGCCACATGATTTCAAGATGTTCTTACTTCAAATGGAATTTGGAACTTCACTTCAGTGATAGCCATCCTAATTACTCACGTGTATTTTGCTACTAAATGCATGTTACCTTTCTCACTGTTTCAAACAATAACAAAGCTTAACTTGTATTAAAAATGTGGCCAAGAGACTATGGTTAATATCCACCACAAAATATTTCATCCCCAAATGAGCAAAAAATATTTATGGATACAAAATGCGGGAAAAATGTAGGTCTCGTACAAGCAGACCTTTCACAACTATGATCATGGATTCTTTGGTCTCAGTTCTTAAATGACGCATTGTTTTAAAATATAAATTCCAGAAAAGAAACAAGAAAGCCTGGTAGAGAAATATTAAGAGACAAACTGCCCATAATTGCTGCACTTATTCAGTAGACTAACAGGACTGGAAGTCAGAACCCACTATAGCTCTAACAGAAAATAATTAATTCCATTGAATTGAAAAAAAAAAAAAAAGCTATTGCACACAGGTAACATTTCCTATTTTGATTTGGTCTGTGGAGGAGAACAGAAAAGGGAACTTCAGACAGAGTGCAACTTTTAGGGTCCTTGTCCTGATCACAAACAAGATAGAGCTTTCATTTTTCCCCTTTTGTTCAGTGAAACAACTAGAAATATTCTTGTAACCAAGATACAAGCCTGATTTTATTTATGTTACCACTGGCTCAGCTTTAGCATGATTTCATACGGAAGCAGACCATATTACAAAGCTAGCTAGAAGGATAGGACTGGCTATCCTTATAAGACCAAAGCAGGCAGATTGTTGTACAGGAAAACTACATCTTCATCTGACTGGAAAAAGCAGAAGCAAGAGTTATACCCAGAGGGGACACATATCAAAGGAAGAAACTCCTGGATCTGGCTGGTGAGTGATTCTAACCTGAACAATCACATTGTTTTTTTATCATTAGTGTATTTAAGTACTGACTTGTGTGATCAAAGGGCTCCAGAATCCTTCAGCAATGACCGTTTTGGAGAAGGGCAGGAAGTATGTTACTAAGGCAAATCCCTGTGCTCACCTCTATCTCCCTTAGGGCTCTCAAACAGTGGGTGCAGAGTTGAGACCTAGTCACTAGTTTTTTTTTTATGACAAAAAGACCAAAAGACAAGAGGACAAGGTCAAAAGGAGAATGACCCCACTGACTGTTACATTGTGAAGGTCACCACACCCTGACTGATCTTTAGGATTATCCTTTTTAGGGCAACTTAACAGTGAAAAGGAGAAAAAGCTCTATGGGGCTTTCAGTGGGATAGTGGGTATGCCTTCTGTAAGGCCAAGGATATGGGGGGAAAAAAGAGTCTGGGATACAGTCTTAGCTATCTCTGTGGATGTGGGAATGCAATTGTGGATTTGCTCACATGCAAACAGCATGTGCAGTTACAGGCACTCAGCAAATAAGAGAGAGGAAAGGGAGATGGGAAAGAGCTAATCCTATACAGAGATGTTTGAGAGCAAGTTCCAAACCCAGGTCTGGGGTCTGCTTTTCTTTCTCACCTTACCCACAACTGGCACCTCCTCTCACTGAGACAAAATGGGGAGAAGGTGGGACTGGAGCAGCACTGTACCGATAGCCCTAAGTGTTTGGTGTGTATGTGTGGGGTAATCCAACAGTCCACCACACACACAACAGTCAGGAGGTAATTTACAATGATAAGGAAAAGTTTAAATACTGCATCTACCTTTGCATTTTCGTACCTGTTGCACAAGGCCATTTGCCCTGGGACTCTGCCCATGGACAGCCACCAGCTAACCCTCCTGTCTACCTGCAGCACCCTGGGTGGCCTGGGGCAGGTCACATACCTCTCTGGCTGGAGATCCCTCCTGGAAGCAGGGGAACACACTGTTTTCCCCAGGGAAGGAGTGTGACGAAGGAAAAAGAAGGCTGAAATGCACCTCAGCAAACCTGAGACTCCTGCAGTGGAAATATCTACAGACGAGCTGAATGTCCTGAGCTCCTGCTATGGGTAACAGAGTGAAATAGGCACCATGGGGCAATCTATCCCACCCCAAAGTGGCCAGATGAAGTAGGTCAGATATACTACTCCTGAAAGTGTTCCCCTCCTTAAAACAAGTTAAGGTAACTAAGACACTTTCACTGCTCAAGTCTACTTTTAACGGCATGGATCCCATCCACAGTCCTTTTATAAAGTACTCTCAACCTACTAAAAATCACTGTAGTAAATGCCAGTGCACCCTGCAAGCTCTCTGGAAATATGTAATAGGAGGTAAAAAACAGAAAAAAAGTATTTTTAAATGGGACATTTTATTTTGCAGCAGCAGCAGCTCACAGCTGATCACTTTTACCTTCCATTTGATAGAGGACTTGGTTGTTAGTGCATACAGGCACAGGAACCTGCCTTGCCTGTTCAACACACTAAAGAGAGGCATATTCAGTACTTAATTTAACATGATATATAAAGGAGCACCTGATACAAAAAGTCTTGCGCTGTTGCTTTGTCGTGTTTCTCCAGTGTATCTGTGCCTTGTGATACATCGGTAGTTGTACAGTCCGTCTTCATTCTGTACGTCTAAAATATACAAGGCTCCCGTGGATGTGATGAGAAATCTAGGTCCTGAAAGACACAAGAATTTGCAATGTTTAAAATACCTGCAGGTTGTTACTGTGTTCTGCTTGCTCAGACTGAGGGATGGACGACAGAGACTGGAAGGTCCTGAAGGTTTGTTTGCCAGAGTCTAGAAGCTGTCAATTGTAAGTTTACTAAGTATTCAAGATATCAAAATATTAATTCATGTGCACTTCTTATAAAAGAGGTAGAGATCTGTAAGGAAAACGTAAGGAATGAAGGAAATAAGTGTGCCATTGTCTATACCACAATCAACAAACAATACCCAAGAAGCATCTGAAATAAAATACAAGGTAAAGAACCAATGCAGAATTTAATCCAGTTTAATTCAATATTGTAGAGTGATACGATGGCAATTCAACAGCAGAGCTGTGTGTGTTAGACGGTCTGGGATGACATGCATAATATTAGCCAAAATGGCATTTGTTGTCCAGGTACACCAGAAAATTGAGGGGAAAAAAAAAAACAAAACACGAGAAGTAAAACTAAGGGATCAGTGAAAGCAAGAGAAACACAAAAGGAGGAAGTTTTTACCCCAATGTGCAGGGTTAAGCAGAGACAGAGTTAACTTTCTTCATAATAGCTAGCAAGAGGCTGTGTTTTGGATTTGTGCTCAGAAGAAAAGTTGATAAGAAAGGGATGTTTATAATTGTTGCTAGGATATTTCAAGGTCCTTCAGCTTCTCTGCTCTTTGCAGACAGTGTGGGGGGGGCTGGGAGGGCACAGCCCCAGCTACTAGCCCAGGATTTGTTCTTTGGTTACTAGATTGAGAACCAGAGTGACCAATAATTTATTCCATAACATACACGTCATGCCCAGTATATAGGTGAGGACCCCCAGGAAGATCATCCCTTTTGGTTCCGGGGCCCTTTCAGTTTCGGATCTCTTCTGGCTCCGCATCGCTCTCCCAAGGCCTTCCCCACACCCCACCCCGGTCACCTCTCAGTCTGGGACGCTCGGACTGTCATCTCTGT